AGGAAGACAAGACCCGGACACAGAGCCGGGCCACAGACCCCGGCCACAGAAGTGAGTGTGGCCAGCTCTTTTCTAAGATAGAACCGCAACAGTAAACTGTTTGGGGAACTAAAGGATTTCATTGCTGTGTGTCCACTCTTCTGAAACTTCCGCCTCTCCTTCCTCGAATCCTGGTTAGGTCTCTTACAGCAAACGGCGTGGACGACTGCTCAACGTCCGGGCAAGGACGGCCTCAGTGGATTGGCCCTAGGCACATTTGGATCGAGAAGTGCACCAAAAGGTGGCGTCGGCCCTCCGCTAGTCGTCGACGGAGACGACGTCACGGAGGTACAAGCTCAGATTCTGATGAGGGACGCGGCGTTTTTTGGGAATCGTGTTCAGAAGGAGTCCTTCATAATGCCACCAAACCGGAATCTTGTTCCCATGTTGGACGGGTTATTCACCAGGGGTACCAACATTCAGGGTTGGAAGACTTATAGGTACAAATTCCTTTTTCATTTCTTTTGCAACATCGTCGAACGATCCAAAGACGTAGATGCCCTTCATCATCAAGATTTTTCTAGATGAAGCAAGGAACGCAAAGATGTTCATGTCTACAGGTTTGTTTCTGCAGCGACCCTACGCCTTCAAGATTTAACAGAGTTTCCCACTCAGAAGACAAAATTGATGAAACCGTATTTTTCGAAGCTACTTCGAAAATCCAATGACCGCCACCAGACCCAGAAATCCTATGATAGGAAACCACACATCTCCGGACGCCCCGTCTCCTGCCTCTTTTTTCATGTCTTTTTTCAATTGGGTTTAATATATAATATTTATTCAGGAGCTAAACATATATAATATTCTTACGTGTTTGTTTCTGTTTCTTTGATTTATACAACTATCTTCTGCAATGCCGCCCCCCGCCACGTCTCATCCAGGTTCCACCCCTCCAGGTGAGCTGTTTCGTGTGTTTTGGTAATGGTGACCACGGGCGTAGCCCGCTCCTCTATGCTACCCCCTGCCCCCTCTCAGACAAGTCTTGGAGGTGCTTGGAGGTGATGGAGGGTCAGGATGGATAGATCTTTATAGACTCATATACTCATGTACTATGTCATCTGATGGTGAAACGAGGCCTTTGCTCGAGCGTGCTAGTTAAACCTGTTCTAGTCTTTGGGCTTACTGGGTATACATAATATCAATATATTACATTATATCATATTATAGTATACAGTATAGTATATTGTGTTTTATTTAGATATTAATCTACTTTGTTGTCCTACAACCTGAGTGATCCTTGTTTTCCCTGCTCTTCTCCTCTCCAAAACCGCGACGAGCGTAGCAGCACTAAGAGCGTGGCCAAAATGGTTCCAATCATGACTCCACACGTCCTCAGCTCAGCCAGACACGGCGGAGGACGTTCAACGGCCCTCTTTGGGACGCCCCTCGGCGTTCCGGCACGGTTTGCGGACGGTTTCCGTGAGAAAAGGTGGTAGGTCAAGCACCTCAAGGACATGAGAGGCAAATGAATTTCTTCTTCAAACACTCCAGCGGTCGGAGCCAGAGCTCCAGTGGTGGCCGTTTCGAATCGGCCTTCTCAAGCAAGCACCCAGTAGGATGCTCTAGTCAGCGTGGAATCCATCTCAATCATATGACAATATCATTGATCCATCATGATCCATCTGTGTTCACCTGTGATCCAAAACTGCTCCCCCAACGGAACATGTCATTTCATGTCATGTCGACCATTTGCGACTCGCCTCCAACCATGCCTTCCATCAAACCAATTGCACGTTGCGAGGCGTTTCTTGGATCCAACCGTCCCGTTGTGGGTCAGATCTCCAATCCATCCAAGAGGCACCAGGGGTTGAATCACCACCAGCCGCGCCAAAATCAGCTGAACGCCCAAGAAGCCTCAGGACACGCTGTCGGTCGTCTCCGGTCGTCTCAAGGACACCGTGTTTTCACTCACACCCAGCCGTTAAGGACCCATCAAGGTGAAAAGGCGTTAAAACCCGAGGAGTTTGACATTAACATCTCCGGGTTTAAAACTTTAGGTACTAGGTCTTCCACAGGTATTTGTTTGTATCAAAACTGCTGGTTTAATTCTTTCCTGGCTAGCCTGGCAGAACCTGGTTTGGAAGGAATTAAACACAGTGGGTTAATTCTTCCTTAAGGCAACAAAGGAAACAAACAAAGGCTAGCCTGGCAGAACCTGGTTTGGAAGGAATTAAACAGGGAGTTAATTCTTCCTTAAGGCAACAAAGGAAACAAACAAAGGCTAGCCATTCTTTTCTAGCACGTCTTCAAGCCAGATTTCTGAAAAGACACCTTCCAAAAAGAATTAAAACAGAAGTTAATCCCACACATCCCACACCATATCATAACCACATCATACAATTCACTCCCGATTTAATTCTTCTACGAAGGGACACCAGAAAATCAGCTACTAAAAAGATTTATCTCCTGATTTAATTCTTTGAACTGTTTTCACACTCTTCCAGAAATGGCGTGGTTGACGTGGATTTCGAGTGTAAATGAAAGTCGGTAGATGTCCCTAGTAAAATGGCTTGGTTGTTCCATCATAAAGGCTATGCAAAAAGAATGATGGGGGTTCCGAATCCTGTTGGTCATGGTTTGGTTTGGGCGTCACCCGGTGACTGGACTCTCAATCAAATCGGGACCGTCTCAACTTTGGGGATCCCCTTCTTTCCCCCACATCCGTTGGACAGCCATGTCTTTTTGACATAAAAATTGGTATATAGATATATCTGATATATTACTATAGTCTGTAGTCATCTAGAATCTACTTTATAATAGGGTATGCATGGCTACTGCTTTTTTCTACTCCATAATACGTCTATCAAGTGGCACAGCCCATCCAATTCAATGACGTCCATGTCATGTCTTTTTGGACAAAAATCGGGGGAGAAAAAGAGATGAAGCCGAGCAATGCAGGCGAGACGCAAAGGATAAGGCCAATGCCACACTTGACCTCATAAAACGGCTTGCATGTCCAGAATGGGATGCCGTTTTGGGTTGGTTGTCTCGAACATGGCAAGAGGCTGAGCTTTTGCACCTTTATGCAAAGACTGAATGTTTAGACTCTACGACTTTTCCAGTTGTGTACTGTATTCGACTTTTCAACAGCACAAGAAACCTCCACATCATGTGGAAAGTGCAGCAGAGTCCAGGCCTCCATTGTCTGTTTCGTGCGCCAACATGATCCAACATTCAACACCCCCAACACCTGGGGAGTCCGTGCACCCAAGTCTCTGCTCACAGCACGTGCCATGGGGCTACAAAATCCAACACCCAACCCACAAAACCCACCCATCTTCTCTTCCACCCCAGCTAGACCGCTTCTTTCCTGTTCTTTTTGCACCACTCTCGCTGTGCGCGCCGCTTTTTGCGCCACTCTCGTCACCGTGCACCACTCACATCACCGGTTCGTCCACGTCTTCGACGCACGTCCCCCTTCTTCCTCGGTGCGGAAAGCATCGAAGGGGACCAGGGCCCAGTGCAGAGGAACGACGGGTCGGTCGCTGGGTCGGTAGAGACAAGAGGTGATCAGTCGACGACACAGGTTCGCGTGGTACCTGTCATTTCGGAAAGGAAATGAGTTCCCAAGATCTACAGAAGATCTACAGAGCGATGATCATGTCACCCCAAGCCCCTACGCCCCAAAGTTTATGTTCAGAATTGTCACCTGGCAGATATGATATGGAGCAATGGTCAAGCCCTGTGCCCAATCTTGGTCGAAGAATGGAGATCAGGACACAAGCAGCCCAACACATCTTCATGAGCCCCGCAAAAATCACCAACATGTCCTTCTTCGGAAACAGCTGCTGCAGCTACGCCGTGCTACACCCCAAACCCCAAGGGACCAAACAAAAGCGCAAAAAAGAAACAAAAAACACACACCTCAGGCCCTTGAACCTCAACCTCTCAACCTGATCACTGCCTCTCCGCCTCTCCCAGCCCTGCCCCACCCGATCCCCGCCTCCCGCGCACCGCCTGCGTCGTTGGAGGCGCGGCAGCGCCCTCGCCAGGCGCTGCGGCACGGCCTCGTCCGCGGCGTCCGGCACGGGAAGAGCCGCGAGGTGCCGGCGCACGCCGCGATGCCAAGAGAAGAAGCGCTGCAAGCCTCACGACACGGCGAGAGGCTGGAGGCGGCCGGAGACGGCCGGGGCGGCCGGAGGGAGGGACACTTGAAGAGGGAAGGACACGGGTGGGGCTTTTTCTGAGGGGGTCTTTCTCTGAAGAGGCTATTGAAACCATGGCACCTCCACAGGTGGAATCGAGAATTGGTGTATTCCCGCCGTCCTTGTGATATCCAACTTCTGAAGATTCCAGGGTTTCAAGCGGGGCCATCAGCATCTCCCAGTTCCAGCCCAGAGGTATTTTCGTCGTGGGACCTAGGCCAACTCAAAGATAGTTGACACACCAAATGTCCATCAAAGTTCGTGTGTTTTGGGGGTGCAAAAAGACTTAAAGGATGGCAGTACGTTTTTTGTTATTGATCCGTCTATGTCCATCGATTGTCGGAGTCGTCCATCTTCTTCGGATTGGGACCGACCTCTTTTTGATCCCCTGACTTCAGCACCCACGAATGGCTGTGTTCCTCGTTTTTTTAAGGAAGGCTCCCAGGGAACCCATGAAGATTCACCCAGAAAGGGAATCATCCGATCCGGCCAACTCCAACTGAACCCCCTAGTTCAAAGGACCTCACCTGACCCGCACCCCCTTCCACCCTCCAAGAACTCCTCACCACCGGCTGCATTTGTTCCAGAAACGCTTCGCATCCAGTGCCGGCGTGTTGGCCATGCCTTCGAGCGCCACAGGGTCTTGGGCGATGCGAAGCACCTCAGTTCGATCCAAGAGCACTGAGAATGCCTGGACCATCCTGGACCTGGGTGTCCTGTCTGGAGACCTTTATCGGCAGTGTAGAGTTGTCCATTGAATCCTTGGAAGCAGCTGGTGGGCGTCCTCATGGCTCAGAAATTCGGGCACCCTCCCCCTGGAAAGGCCATGTTCATCCGTTCATCCATTGTCCACTTCCGCTGATGATGTCGGGCAGTGCACCCTCCAAACCCATACTGACGGAGAACATGACCAAATTCTGCAGGTGCCAAATGTTTTTAAGGTCTGCTTTTTGGAGCCATCTCCATACTCTCAAACAGCGTGCAGAGTTTGGACTGTGCGAGGTAACCTAGTGATCACCCTAGCTGCTTGGACAGCCATGCTTCAGCGAGTGCTTCAAGCAAGCCGGTCAGGGGTATTGACTGGTGCTTCAGCGAGTTGACAGCGTTTCGAGCCTTCACCCATGGGCGATGCCTACTTTCGGATTGTAGTTTCGTCTTCCCCATCTGCCATCCACACATCCTCCCCGTCCCCCCAAACCCCCCCGCGATGCCCAAGCGTCGTGCTCGGCGACGCGCTCCAAGTGCATCAGCGGATCGAAGAGCTGCTCGTCCGAGAAGCCCGGAGCCTGGACCACGCCCGTGGCGGATACCCCGGACGTTGACCACTGCTGCGGTTGGGTGGTGATTCGGCGCTGCGCCGGTGGGTGGTGAGGTTGGTTTCAAGTGGAAAGCATGGCGGACTGTCCGGTTTCGCAGACTGTCAAAACAACCGTAGAGGCACACCAAGACACACCGAGAACGGTAAGTGCTTTCGCAGGGCTCAGAGGGTTTGGCGGGTAGGTTTGCCATGGCTCAACCGGAGTCACCAGGCGTTCGATGCCATGCAAAGGTGCGTTTCTTCAAGTTGCCATCCGTTCTTCTTATTGCTCCGGATCTCATTCGGCTCTGATTCCAATGGTTATTGGTTTGATCTTCCTTCCGCCTGTATGTCATTTGCATAGATGAAGGACTCCGGATTGAAGATCTCCAAGACTGCCCTGTCCGCTGCGATGCGCAAGACACTCTGCTGACACGCGTCTTACCTCTGAGAGAGGGAGGGGGCACGCAAAACCCTGCACGCTTCTGCTTCTGCCCTCATAAAGTTGTTTTTAAAAAAAGAAAGACATCCATCTGAGATCTGAGTCTTTTTTTGCCAGGACCTTCCGTTCGATCTGTCCATCAAAAGCCACGTAAAACACGCGGTGATCCATGAGCGGTGTTCCAAAAACCCACACCTTTCCCAGCTCGCAAGGTCCGGACGTGGAGACCAGAGCGCCTCCGACGGCGCCACTCCGGTGCGGCGCGTCCGTACGCGTACCGCGTACCGCCTGGAGCCCCAGTAGATCGGAATGCAGCCGGCCAGGAAGGCGTTGACGATCTTCTCGGTGACATAGCCTCCCATCTCTCGACGGGGCGCACCGAGCGACTCGGTCGGTATTGGACACCGGTTCCGAGTGACGGGTCGAAGGCGACGGCGAGTGGTGGTTTGGGTCGCCCAGTCGCAGAGAACGAGGGCCATCATGGGGATACTAAGACAGGTGGTGGAGCAGAGATTCCAGTTTGAGAATCCTGGTCTAGTGAGCTTCAAGCTCACATCACTCCAGTTTGAGTTTTACACCCTCAGTTTGAGGTCCAATCAGCAGTGCCACCCTCCAAGACAGAATGAAATGGGCTCAATGTCCCCAAGTTCATTCTACGGTCAAAAAAGCATCAAAGGTCGCAGAAAAAAATGTAAGTCATGAGGCCATGAGGAAGGTATGTGGCAATGTGAGCGAAACGAAGACCTGCGGCCTTCGTTTTGCAATGGCCAGAACATGGGACCTGGACTCTCCCTTCCCCGGAAGGCCTTTGGTTCACCCCTGCCCGCCTGGCACCAACTTGTTCTCGAAGACCAACGCAAACCTGTACGGCCTGCAGCTCGCTCGAAGAGCAGTTCGTCCATTCGGGGGAACTGGGCCCTATGATGGCACCCAGGGACCTTCATTGGTTGACCCGAGTCCGTCATGGTTGAACCAATTTCCCATGAAAAACAACGGGTTTCACCTACAAAAACCATGTGCTTTTTGCTAGGGAACACCAGGTGTTTGGAATGTTTGCATGGGCCCAGGGGGGGGGGCCTGGTAAGGAATGTCAACCTCCCATGGGTTTGGTGGGGGAGGTGCCACGACGAAACCAGCCAAATGTCAACTCAGGTATGGTATGGTCTGGTATGGTCTGCTTCTCTTCGTGCAGCTTGCTGGATACTTGCCTTCTGAGGGGGGGCAGCTTGGATGTTGTTGGGTGACTCCCAATAGCCATGAGCAGGAGACTCCCCTTCTCTTGCCTAGCCTGCCAAGACAATCTTTAAAGCTGGTTGACCTGGTTTTGTGGTGTAAAATCCTTAGTCAAACAGCTTGGTTGTTTGGGATTCAGGACCGACCATCTCGTCTCTTGACCCTGGTGAGTGCTGCTGGACCGACCATCAGCAGGTCTCCAAAACCGGACACGGTACATGCCCGGACATGGTCGGACCCAAGCAGCAAAGTCAACTTGTTTTTTTTAAAGTGTGGCTTCGCGGGAGATTCCTCTGTTGGGGCCACAATGGGCCATTTCAGGGAGATTTGGTGACCTGATCATTTAAGAATGGTCTGAATCCCAAAGAAAAGAGCTGTTTGACTAAGGATTTGAGACTCCAAAACCAGGTCAACCCTTCTTGGTCTTCCGATACCGGGTATGGCTCAAAAGCTGCAGCTCGTTCGTCCCGGATCGAAATGGAACCCAAATCGAAGTGTCGTGCACGACAGCTGCATGAGCAACGCACCGGTCGTGATGTTTTAATCGATTTTGGTGGAAGGAAAACGACCCAAAACCTTCTGTGAACCCAAAAAAGAGCACTACGCTGACCAGCGTTTAGGATTGGTTTGGAAAACATAAGTCATGCGTTGTATAATTCACATCGTTTAACCCATACAAAATGGAAACGCGCGGCCTCAGCAACTCGACTGCCTCATCCAAGAAGGATAGGGCCACGCCACGTGTGTGGTTGCGTCGTTGACGCCTCTGGGCCACACACCACGTGACAAGATCGGATCATCAAGAGATGCAAGCGTGAACAGCTTTGAATGTTGCCGCATGTTGCCCCCAGGTCTATACTTGCATAAAGGTCAAGGGAGGATTTTTGTTGCTGGGTTCGCGGGTTTTGAGAGGCCAAGGCTCTGATGTGTAGAATGACCACCGTTGTAAGTAGAATGATATACCGACCAATTCAACAGATGTGTGAAAAATGCCCCAAGAAGCATGCGCTCCAGCTCGGCTCCCCCCTATACCCCACACCCACACCCTCTCAGCCTGTGCTGTGAGCGAAACCCCGCGCAGCGCGAGAGCGCCACGGGAGCGTCCAGGTCGGTTCCAGCGGCTGCGCGCTGCACCAAGAGGTCGAAGAGCAAGTCTCGGTGATCCACACAAGCCTCAGAACATCCGCCCTCGAATAAACACGAATCAACACGAATAAACAAGAGGGGTGGACCATGGTCCTTGGTATCATTGATAGTGGTGCCCATGTGGTCCAAATGAATACCAGTAGAAACTGTTTCCAAAACATTCAGAAACACATGGCAGTGGCGACCAATCCACACGCGCCGTTCGCGAGGAGCCTACCCTCGTCCACCGGCAGCCGAACCGGAGCCGAGCGTCGTGGCAGCGCCACGGAGCGGCGGTGGTTAATGGACACCCCGAATCACCTCTAAGGAGCTATCAATGGAAACCCTTAGGGTGTCCTGGTATATGACTCTACCAGGACCCTCCGTTCGGTTCGGCTGGACTTGGAGACCCGACCACAGGTGAACCTGGGCACCGGACTTGGAAACACAGCAACACCTGTTGGGCGGCGCTGGTATGCTTTGCTTATTGCGTGGTATCTCGACCTCCACCTGCAAGATATCTACACCGTTCACACTTTGTTGCCCACGCTTGGAGTTTGGGGCAGATGTGAACGTGTTTTGGAGTCCAAGCAACATAGGCCATGTAGGCCAAAAAGTGTTTCTTCGCATGTCCAGCGCCGGCTTTCAACAAATCCAAGGGAGAGTGGCTTCTGGCAGCAAAGGAGCTGGATGCATAAGGAATGTGCCTGGGCTGAGAAACTTGTACGATCAGAAGTCAACGCCGTGCGAACGCCGTCTCCAGTGGACTTGCTTGGTCTTCTTTGGACTTGCTTGGGAGAAGGGACAATCCTAAAGGTGTCCCTGGAAGAAGAAACAATTGGAGTGACCGCACTGCTACACCAACAGGTTTTAAATATTTAAAAAAGCAAAACACTAACCCTTAGAACTTGACTTATATAATCGATATATAAATTATAGTACCCCAAGAATCCGGCCCTCAAACAGATAGGGTTTGGGAACCGGCCCCATTTTCCCCCAAACCGTGCAACGGTGGGGTGGAGAAGGTCCGGACCCCGGATCCATGGACAGCACGAGCTCGGATTCTTAGGGTAAAGAAAACACTATAACACACTTAGAACTAACACTTAGAACTTGACTTCTCTTCTTTCGATATATAATACTGTAATTAATAATTCACCCTAGAAGTCCAAAGACTATATTTTGCCCCACTGAAGTAAAGCATATTCCTTTTCGGGTCACCTAGTCAGACCATTCTTTTGATAGTCTTTGACTCCCAGGGTATTTATATAGTAAAGAAAACACTGCCTGACCATCGCGGGGATTTCCCGAGGTCGATAGCTTTGGGCTTCTGCCAGGTCCAAGGCGCAGCACCGTCAAGGTACTTGGAGCTGGCCAGGTGGCCTCCTGGTCGAAGACCTGCGCGCGGGGTGGCGCGCGGGCGCGGGCGCTTGGGAGTCTGGGGGAGTCTGGACCAGGCCAGGGACCAGGCCAGAAGCTTGGGGCGCCAAGCTAAGGGGGTTTGGAAATATGCGCTTGGCATGAGCAATACATTGGGGGGGTGCAAACCTTTTCAGAGTCTAGTCTGAAGTCACTTGCTTGTACATCAAGGAAGAGAAGTGCTGTCCTCTTTGGTCGCCCATCAGACCCCAAACGAACCAAAAATGCCCAAATTCCGCCTAGGAAGAATGGTCCTATGTTCTCGGCTCTGGAGCTGCCCACCCGCTGTGTTCCAACAGCTCTGTCACCGTAACCGCCGCCACCGGCCTTCGCGCACACGCGGCGGCTCTGCTGGGGTGGTGTCCCCCAGCGCGAGAGACAGCGGGTGGCCGCCTGAGGGGCCAAGACACCCAGGTAGACCACGCGGTACTTGGCCAAGACCTCCCAGCGGGGGGTGGGTTCTGCGCCAGGTACAGGACTGGAGTGGTTTGAAGGGATGGCAAAGGGACCTTTGCAGCGTGGAAAATTGGTGGAAAAGGTCCTTGGCATGATGGCTCTTCCATTCAACCTTTTTGGCTTTGTTGCTGGGGGGCCTTCATCCAACCCTTTGCCTTCGTTGAGAAGTATATTCTATCTTACTGCTGGGTCTTCGTATTCATTCCGCTACATTCATCTTGTGCCAGCCTGATTTCTAAGGGCTAACCATGCCGAATCCTCTCCACAACGCCCAGGATCAAAGCATTTTCCCAGACGCTCCACCCTCGGCATCGGACCCGATGCCTTTCTGGAGGGGTCCTGTTTCTCACCTCTCACCTCGCTTTTGAGGGACCGGGAAAAAGCAGTGTGGAGCAGTGTGGAGCGCCGCTCCTCACCCGCAGTATCCCCTGGGCCCGATCGACGTCCAGTGCACTCTACGTCACCTAACTACCAGGGGCCAGAACCAAACCATGAAAAACAAAGGTTTTCACATACAAAAAAACACGTTTTTTGCTAGGGAAAGCCAGGTGTTTCGATGGGCCATGTGGGGCGTCACCTAACTGGGTTCTTCGATCTCGACCCACCCGGCACCTCCAAGCGCCCCCCGAACACGACGGGCAGAAAACGTGGAGAAACCGACAGGCGGGGCCTCTGCCAAGCGCCCAGCATCGCGCCCGGGGCCAATGCCCGCCTGGTCTCGTGCGGGTGGAGACAGCGCGAAAAGAAGGAGGGCGAGAAGCTAGAGGTCGCGTGCGGCGAGAGCTTGGAGGGTTCTTGAACCTGGATCTTCCAACTATATCCAACTATGCCTAGCCTATACCTTGGCTGTCGTTGATGGATGAAAAAGGATGAAAAGGCAGAAGTTGGTCACAGTTGGAAGATCCAGGAATGGGAGGTGTCGGGGTTTGGGATGGAGCTACACCATGGCAACCCCCAGCTATGGATAGTTTCGTGGGGTTGACAAGATTCAACCCGACTACCATGGTCGAAACGCTGATCCCTTTTCGGGATCCTGTGCATGTCATCGTGTGCCTTTCGAATCTTTGGATTGAGTCTTCCTCGAAGAGGAACCGAAAAGAAAAAGCCAATTCATCCAGTACCCAAAGGAAACCATGTCCACAGTCCACAGCATGCGAAATTCGGGCTTCTCATGGCCTCAAAAAACCCGGCTTCGTCGGTCCACCCGGTGCGTCCTTCCACCTCCACGCCGCTTCGGCGCCACCCGCGCCGCCCGCGCCGATGGTCTCGCGCCGGCCTCGTGGTCCACGTAGACGATCGCACCCAAGAACGGGACGCTGGGCAGCGAATCGCGGGCCACCATGACGTCGGGGCAACTGAGTCCTTCGAAGACCCCACGGACGGCACGGCACGGCACGGGTCGAAGAGGGCGCACGGCAAGGTTGGTGACAGGGTCAGAAGTCATAGGCTGTAGGCTCCAACAAACATGTTTGCCTCTCTGCCAGAAAGGGTTGTGAACTCAGCCTCTTATCTCCACCAGGAGGCCTCTCTACCTGGATCTTCGAAACCGGCACAGCGCGACTCAGCGCGACCAAGAAAAACAACATGCCGTTGCGCTGTCTTTTCCCGAAGACGACGTTTTTTGTTGTGACCAGGCGGTTTCACCGGCAGAACCAAAATGAAACGGCGTCTTTGGGCGTCCAAACGGCGTCTTTCCGCGTCCATGGATTTGGAGCACATCTTTGCAACCCCTAAAATTCCGGCAAGTGTTCTTGATTACGGCGTCTTTTCACTGAACAAAGTGCGCCAATCGCCCAAAGAAGAAGTGCGCCGCTTCATAAATCCAGGTACAGCTCTATATAGGATCCCAAAAGAAAAAGGACATGTAGTATAGTAGTATAGTATGGCCCTACTCTTAGGGCCGTCGCGAGTGAAATCAGGCACGACCCACCCACCGCTGACAAATCGTGCAAGGAATCGACCAGCTCGGCTGCCCGGTGCATGAAAGTCATTCTGGGCATACGTTCTTTTTTGGAGTCTATAGAAGACTCTAAGGCCGGCGTGTCTTCATTATTGCCTTCTTCCATTTGAGAGTAGTCAGAACTGATGGAATATATATATATATATACATACTCCCTCTCCACAAATGATGTCCTTCTGAGACCAACACCTTTCTGAAGCATGCAGCTCCTGGGATAAACTGTTGCCTCTGCAAAACCCCGCACCTGCAGGTGGACATCGGTTTTCTTACCAAACCAAACAGGTTTAATACAGAAAGCCCAGCAAAACGTGTCCTTCGTGTACTTTGAAGCGCTCCGAATCCGCCCAGAGGTGGCTCGTGAACGCTGGCAGGCCGTATCCATGGAACTGGTCCTCTGCCAGTTGGAGGACTGAACAAAATCGGAACGCGAAACTTGTTGGGCTATAATGTGTTCTCCAACCTGGTGTTACACGAATCAAACTCTTCAGGAAAAGAAAACCTCTTGGATTCTCTGGAAAGAAATCGTTTAAATTTCCAGACGCGACCCTGGACCCGAATGCTCTGGAGGGGTCTGGGGTTTCTCACCAATCCCCATGTTTGGTTCGGGACCGGATCCAAAACGGTTCAAAAAAGAACACCACATTCTCTCATCCGACACCGAGCGTCTTCGAAGGGATCCACCGAAACCAGCACCTGGTCGTCCCTCCTGCCGGCAATCCACAAGCGCCACATCGAAATGGGCGAACGAACCGGTCGCAGGTCGTGGGAATTTCCACACCTCCCCGCAGGTCAAGGAGCTCAGTTTATAGGTGTTGGTCATGTAAAAAAGAATCGATGAGCCCTATGGATCCACATACCTTCTCAGAAGGAGTCTCCAATCACCTTCTCAGAAGGTATGTGGATCCATAGGGGAGGTAGTTTGGACCAGGTTTGTATCCGGGATCGTTGGACTGATAGGGCCTCGTGTTCCAACCCAATGCGATCCCAGACATGGGTGTGTAGCTGAAATAAACACGGAGACCGACACCGAACAACGTTCCGACCCCCTGGGTTCGGTTCGGGAAATAGACCAGTCTACCCAGCCAGGGCCGAAGGGTCCCTAAAAGGCACACCCACATGAAGGACATGAAGTTGAGTCAAGACCCATCAAGAAATCCGTCAAACCGCAGAAGTATCCTACGAACCCGAACCCGATAAACCCTATGTGACAATGTGTTGCTTCGGGCCCACGTTTCTTAGACCTAAGGCTCCAAGTGACTTTTAAAAAGGTCTTTTAGAGTTTCCAAATACCTTCTGAGGAGGTACTTGGAGCCCCAGGGTGGTAGGGGTAGAACCCACCAAGGGGCTCATATCCAGAAAAGCATGGCCCCAGTTTGGACGACGACGAGTCACACTTCCAGTGTCACCTTTGGGAGACCGACGACCCCGACCTGCCGGTGGATCCGGCGCGCCCACGGCAGGCGGATCTGAAGGAAACAAAAGGTTCGAAGGTTCGAACGTGTGAAGCACCTGGAAGGCGCCCAGTGGCACGGACATCAATAGTTTGGCAGTCCAGTCGACTAGTTCAAAGATGTTCGGACGAATTGCCCGAACTTAGGAATTTCCTGAGTGACGGTGCCAAACATAGTCGAACTGGACTTCTAGGGACGATGTATCCCTAAAAATTATGTGACGAGTTCCACGGCCTCCCTTTTTGGGGTTGAATCTCTCTACTTGAGGAGATGGTCCAGTCCAGGTATATATATATATCTCTCTCTCTCGGAGGGCAACCTTTGGATGCGCAAAAGCCTGCAAGAGCTGTGGCGGCCTTTACGCTGTCCACCTGGATTGGCGCGCGCACTTGGTAGTTTTTTTCTTAGATGTCCTCTAAAATTTCCAGGGCTTTGACAACAAAATCAGCGGTTTCCCCTAACTACATGGTAGCCAAGTCGCGGAGATGTTCCTTACAGTACAGTGGTTTTTGAGTAGATGGCACTATCCCCAAACAGTGGCTTAAGTGGACCACCGTACAATCTTTTGGTATTTGAAAATTTGGTGGGTAGAAAATATTGGCAGGAAAGGTCCCCCACTCCCATCCCCCACCCAGCCACGAGCTGCGGCACCACTTCAGCTGTTGCCTCCACCGCTGGCACCTCAGATATCCTACTTAGCTGCTCAAAGTTGTGAATTCCCGACAAGTAGCAACTAAGTAGATCTCAGATCTTAAGTAAACCATGAGTACTACTTCAATAGCTTAAAATGTTGAAAGTAACATTGAGTAGGTTCACTCCAAGGGTCCAAGACTGCCCTTGGTCGCGGACTGCCTCACAGGAAAGCTTGCTAAAGTAGAGCTTTGCTTGCGCAAAAAGATTCGGCGTATGCGTTATTGTAGAAACCTTGACACTCTTCAGGGCAACGCCCAAGAAATATTCTAGCTTGTTTGACCAAACCACCTTGCAAAGTCGATCTGTTATTAACCTATAGGTAAAACAGCAGTTTACCTAAGAGTCAGGACACCAATAGCAAGATTGCAAGGAACTAGACAAACCTGGCGCATGTGCTTCAGCAAAGACTTTGTCGCCGGCTGAGCTCAGGAGGCACCGCCAGAAGCTTGACCTGAAAAAGCACCGCATCATCGTTCTCCACAAGTGACTGCCGATGTGCGCGCACAAAGAAGGTGAAATCAAAAGCTTAAAAGCTTCGCCAAAGTCCTCAGGTGGCAGTTTTGTCATGACCCATGGCCCGTGGCCCATGACAACTAAACTTGAGGCTTCGGCTGGCAGAAGATTCGCCAAAGAGATCTTCAGCTGGTTATTGTTCTGGGAAGATTCTTCAGCTGCTGATGCTGTTGCCAGCGAACTCCGTGCCATAGTTTGAAGGATTTCACTAATCTCCTCCATTTCCACTGCACACTATTGTCTTCCTGACACAACGTACGGGGTACAGAGTGTCGCTCACAACAGTTTATCACCAGTCCAGCTGTTTGGGCTCCAAAGGCCCCGAATCTATGGCTCGAAATCGCACCCGGGATCCCAGTGACCGAGGAGCTTTTCTTTCTGGAGGTTCAAAGCGGGTTACCCTTATTCTAGCTCCACTACCATGCGAACTTTTCTCTTGAACAGAAAGGAAAGGGCTCAAGTCAAGTCACGCTGCACAAAAGAGATGTTAATGATGCTGTACAGCTATGTACTAGTCTACCCTGAAAATGCTTCACAAAAACGCAAAATACGGAAATAAGCGCGTCCAATCTTCGAGAGATTGGCATTGCGACTCACATCCAAATAGGTGGGAAACGTTGGCGCGCCATCCAGGGCAGTAATGCGGTTCATTGAGAGGGCAGTAATCCAGGGTGTTGACTACCCAGTATAAGCGATGTTTGCTACCACCACTTGCGTTGACAGCAAGATGAACTCCTTTGATGCGACCAAAGAGCCCGCATTTAGATGCCCTGACGTGCGCCAGGATTGCACAGGGATGGATAAAATCCCAAACGTCCATATTCAGGCTGCTCCCCAGAAACATCTCATGGCGCAAACCGAACTCTGGGGCAGTCATGTCGAATGTCACATTTGTCTCCTGTAGGAAAAGTTCTTGCAATTTTTTTGCTAACCCCACGATCTCCCATCCACTCATTTCTGATGGTCCCTTGGATCTGGCAATGCTCTAAATTCAAGAACTCAATATTGTGGTGAGAGATCAATGATATTCCCTGTCACATTTGTTTTTCATGAACCTAGCACTAATGGTGGGGACCAGGGTCCCCCAGCTGTATATTTTTTGAATATTCATGGGGGTCCCTCAGTTGTTGAAAACTATAATTTTATTAAGAACTCAATGAGTTCAAACATGAACCCACTGAGGTCCAGCCAACGCAATGAGCTGCCATATAGTTATTTAAAAAACAACCAAGAACATACAGTTTAATTTTCAGAAACTAAATGATTGGTAGTGAGAAGAGACAAATTGCTATCTACTTTGATTCAATTTTCAATATAAATTGTCCTTTGGTGGGGGTTCTGAATTACCTTTGGTTCAAGTAATTGGCTGAATTCCTCGAAAACGGTGAACAACCGCCACGACGTACTACATGTCATGCGACACACCAAAAAAGTAAATCAGTTAATTTCCTCTTGCGCCATGATAGGTTTAATTTTCCAGCTTCGCATAATTAAATGGTGAAAATGTACCTAATTCAATTTGCACACCACAAGGAGTATGTTTCTTCAAGCAGCAAACGTTCCAAAGGTGAGTGTTCTGCTAAACCCACGCTGGATAGATTTCCAGTCACTGCTTTGGCTTTGGCATCTCGCAAATCCAGGAACTTCAGCTCGTCCCAATTGAGGTCTTCCAACTGGCCACGAACCTTCTCCCCGGACAACTTCGAAGCTTCCAAGCGGTACTTCTGAAAATCCACGAGATCTGCTTCCACATTGCACCATCTCACAAAGCCCTCTATGCCTCCCCAGCAAAGTCACTTGGTCGCAGTAATCTCGTCGATCAGCACACGTCGCGCCTTGATGGAAAAGATCTTGATGGCGAAGACCCACTCAGCGCCGCCACCCCGCGCACATCTTTGTTTGGCGCCACTCAGGGCACATGGGGATGGCAAGAGAGATGTTGAGCAACACGCTCACGTTAACATATGCGATATAATTGCGCAGAAGTTCTCAACGCGTGAAAGCAGGAATGCTCAATATGGCAAACATGTGGAGGCCCTTGGGTCAAGCTCTCAGGGACAGAACACTACAGCCTCGCCAACAAACAAGTGTGTGTGTGTGAGAGAGCATGAACAGCAACAGCAGAGTCAACAGCACGCAGCAAAAACAACAAGTCATCTTGGCAACAATCCACAACAAACAACACAACAAGGAGAGGCGTAAGCCTTGATCTCAGCACCAAGCCTGGGGGAGCTGAAGACCACAAGCCGAGCAAGAATACTACAACCAGAAGTATAGGACAGGAAGCAGGCAACATGAATGGACCTGCAGCATCAGCATCACCACATCACATTGGAAAACCCGCCAATATAGGAGACGCACTGGAGACCCTTGCAACAGTACATAGGCTCAAACTCAAGCCACCCATGTACACTGGGGACTGCACGACATTCGAAGAATGGAAACACAAAGTCAAGGCCGACATGGGTCTTTCTGACCCAGTGTACCAACAACTACTTACAAGAGCGGAACAAAACAGCAACTCTCCTCGAACAACATGACCTCGCTAACGCAACTTCAAACAGCAGAACATGAACGATGGATCCAAGTGGACAGCAATTTTTGGCTCCTACGCATCCAAGCTTTATGGTGGTCACTTCCAACTCCACTCAAGCCCATGTCATACGCTGAACTGAACAGCCTGAACATGTCATGAAGTGAACCTTCATCTTAACCACTTGGGAGGTTTGCGTCCCCCTTCACAGCTAGCGCCAAACCAGCTCCTGCAGCCTACGCTGGAAAACATGTGGCCTCCACTCCTAGTTCAGCCCTGCAACTCATAGCTGCAAGATGTCCTTCCTGATTAGTCAGCGAGGTCTTCTCAAACACTCCTGGGAGCAATAACCGCTTCGACCCATCCTTCTTCGCTTTCTTGCTCCGGCGGGTCTTTATCATTTCACCATTCTCATCTGTGAGTCCGGCAACTCATCTGCACTCTCCACAAGCTTTTTAATGCCTGCTGCTTGAAGCTTTGCAACCGCTGCTTTCAACAAGGCTTGCATGGCATGGAAGAGGGCACATGTTGCCTCTAAGAACAAGCCCTAAAGACATACCTTGACGAGATCAGCTTACACACACTCGGGATAATGCGTACTGTACTGAGTGCGGCTTGCCACCCGCCAGCCTAAGTAGAAAACCTACAGCACCAGGACAACGGGTAAGTAAGGTGGTCTGAACATCCTCAAAACCTCAAGGTCAGGCTGTTTGAACGTCTTCAAAACCTCCAAAAGCGACAAGTTGCATGTGCAAGTCGTTGAAGCTCATTAAATTAGCACTTTAATTTTAATTCCAAACCGAAGCCAAGAGCGAGATCTTGTTCTAGTTACAAGCATGTGCCAGTAGGAAATGGAAGTCATCGCTAAAGCAGGCACGTGATCCCCTGCAAGTTGAAAAAATATATAAAACCTGAAAAAATATCCTTCTATCCTTCTCTAGACTCTAGAGCCATTCTCAACCCCATCTTTCTCCCAACGGTCCCTCCTGCCCGATGTATCCTCCTCTCCCGGCATTGTCAACTAACTCTTTGATCTTGGATTCTTGGCTCAAACCACCTCAATATTCTATTGAAACCAACAAATACAAACGTTAAACGCACCACAGAAAGTATAGGGGTGCCAGTGCCATCTACTCTGAAACCACTGTATCTTGTTCGAATCGGCTTAGATCCTCCAAGGTCAATGAATGAGCAAAACGACTTCAACGATGTCTGAGCGGACCAGGCAGGCCTTGCCAAAAAGAAGCGACCCCCACTTCACCCACAACTGGTTACATGCTTGTTTTGTCCAAGAATGGAAAAAGAGAGACGACAACAGTCCGGCGACGTCCCAAAATTGGTCGTTCACCATGTCCAGTATCATACATGCATTGAAACAACAAAAACATCTTTGCACAGGTACATTTACACTCCCTGAAAGAATCCTGGAAGTGGAAAACAACCTGTTTGTAGAGTCTTTCCAGGCGAAAGTGTGTCACTTCCATGATTATTTCCAGTAGGACACACTCCTACCCTCCATTAGGGCGGTCGCAGGACCTCAACGCACGCGTCCAAACGCACACCCCGTCAGACTCCCTCCTGCTCTCGTGGCTGAGGGAGGTGTTGAAGGCTTCGGAGATCCGCTGCAACAGGTGCAAGGACTCAGCAGCCCACATGCCACTCGAAACCAGGTTCGCGAGGTTCTCGACCTCCGCCAGGTTCACGACGAACAGCGACCGAAGCCCAGAAAGCGAACCAAAATGCATCCTGAAGAAAGCGGCGGTCCTTCGCGTGGATGTTTGGGCCCAGAGAGAATCACTGCTACAGATCCTGAATTCTGGATTCTCGAAATCTTCGGGAACAAAAGCAAACCTGAACGAAGGGAGAAGCCACGCAGCAACGCAAGTCCACTGCAAGTGACAGAAGCACAAAGGGGCAAGAGTAACTCAGAAGCGCCTCTCACGGATGATCAACATGTTTCCCGACGATTCCAAGGGGCTGACGATGAGTGTTGAACTCCTGGAATCACTGCGGCTGCAGGACGAAGGAAGACCTCCTGTGTTGTCATTGGATGCCGGACGTTGCCAAGAGTCAAAAGATTGTGCTTCTCTTCTGGCTGCGAAGCGTCTAGACCCTGTTAGACTTGTAGACAGGTTTCACAGAATGCAGCACATCAGAGAGACTAGAACATCACCATGTTCCAGACCAGATGTGATAGACAAAGACGATGTTTATCTCTGTGGGATTCATCTAACATCCCAAGGATCGCCCAGAGCAAAAACCACTGGATCGCCCAGGCGTCTGACTCAACCTCTGCATACGCCCACGCCCACGCCCCCCTGAAGTCGGACAGTCGTCCTCATAGTCCTCCAGCAACTTCTCCAGGAGCTGCTTCAGCCCAGGCTCCCGCCGGGCGCTACAGGAGATCGAAGCACCGTAACCCATCAACGGAAGCCCCGCACCCAGCAGGCAGGCCTCGGTGGGACCGGGCCAGCCCAAGGCCCCAGGCCAGGGGTGGTTGACTGGGGGTCCATGCAGGCATATGGCATACATGGACTGTATGGGTCATGGTTTTGTGGGAGTTGACCAAATCCACCTGTTTTGCTCTTCGCAACTCCTGGTCCTCCTCTTCGCACTTCATGTCATCCACTTCGGATATATGAGGGTGCTTCAGATGTGAAGGTGTTTACGGTCGACCCGTCAGATGACTTCACGCAGTCCTCAAAGCTTGGTAATCCATATTGGAAAAAAAAGAGTCCTCATATTACTATAGTGAGACTCCCCAGAGGCCCCTGACCCAGTGGTTGAATTTTTAGTAGTTCCGGGCTTTTTTGTGTGCCAAACACCGTGGAATCGTCACAGTTGCCAGTCCAAAGAAACCCGCTTCACTGACCGGGGTAGGGTCCCCATGTGATGCCATGTGACTCTTCTCGTGGCGACTTAGTAGACAGGCGCTTTGCGTTGCTGAGCATTTAGTCCCCTTTGATTCATGTGGAGCACAAAGATGTGGCCTCCAAAACCACGCAGCCCTGCGTTCTTGGAACGATGTTCCTCCATGCATAGCTTGGGGTACAAACAGACTCTCTTGGGCTTCCATTTGCGACCCATTTTGCCTTTTCGAGTGTTTGAGATGATTTTGCAGTTGTCATAAGCTGGTGCGACCTTGGCCACCCCGAGCATTTTCCCCACATACCTTAGGTGGTGACGAATCAGGAATGTCTGCAGGACTGCCTTCCTCATGCGAAGCCGGGGGAAGTCAGTGGGTCCCGATCAAGTTGCAAAGCTGCAAAACCCATTGGTTGGGGGTTCCCCTATTTAAAGACACACCCATGTGTAGATCTTGTCAATAGATTATCGAGCGGTGAAGCATGGCATTTTAAGCTTCGCGGACCATTGTGCGGTTTCTTCACGAGTTGAAAGCTAAGCTTAGCCGCAGCACTCTGTTCATGCGTCCCATTGTGCGGTTGCTCTGCAAGCGCTGCAGGAGCTCGTCCGCTGTATTTTCCACGTCAGTACTGAAAGGGACCTCCTTTCCATACAGCATCACCTCCTGTTCAGGGGACCGATCGACAAAGAAGAAACTGCTACAGTGCTACAGCAAGCAAACATAAGCAGGTCATCTTCCGGAACATAGGAATACATAGGACCCGTCACAACAAACAACCACGACAGATCCGCGTGATTTTACCTCTTCCATGCGTGTCAAGCTCTCGGGCTCCTCATATCGGATGCGGAAAGACTCAATGGGCTGGTCACAGACCACGCCTTTGCCAGCGCCATCGCGGCTGAGTTTGTAGGCAATGAGGCCGAGTAATCCAAAGATCGGCCAGCCACTCTGCAACACCTGGAGGTCTCCACGCAGTGCGAGGTCTCCAGTGTGACGGTGCAAGATCTTCTGGAGATTGGTGCGAAAAAAGTCCATCTTGGACACACAGATTGGCAAAGTCCCCTAACATGATGTTCGCGTGAACTGCAAACCCCTCAGTGTGTGGGCGCGTGTCATGCACCTATCTGTATTGGTTGGATGTGGTTCGAGGCAAACAATGCCCAAGTTCATGGCAAATCTCTCTTGACCGAAAACACCCTGTCGGTCCACCCTTACCGTGTGCTTCTGAATGATTTGGGGGCACCTCAAAGTAGTGGGTGTGGTGGTTACAGTGGGAGGGGAGGATCTTCTACTTTGCTTTCTGCCACACTCTTTGTATGTCTCCCGCACTTCTAAGATTCCAAGACACAGAAAGGCTGCAGGGACCAGGGGTTGCGGAGTTTGGGTAACCAATCACTCCCAAAATGCAAGGAAGTCTCGTATATCGTATATCAACTTCTCAAACCACCACCACATTCTATATAACCCTCTTCCAAACAGACTCTGCCTTTGTGTCCGGACATGAGGAAGAACCGAAGAAGACGACGCCTCCGACTCTCAGCCCAGGTCTACACTCCCGACATGGAAAGCGGAGGGCAAAAGGTCCAAAAGGAAGATGACTTTCCGAGTGCCAAACAGGGGGTGGCATCCACTTCCGAGTGAGTAGGCCTGCAATATCCCTTGAAAGTCTTGAAAGTCGTTTTTGTTGCGTCTGCAACATGTCTGCTTCTTTCGTCACCTCCACGGTCGAGGCCCAATGCCACGGCAGCTCCTCCTCCTGCAACTGCTGCCAGCGCTCCGCAGGATGGCTAAAGATCAGCACCGCCAAGCGCAGACTGTAGTGCCTCATCAGCGGCTTTCGGAGGCACCGATCAACGACGCCAGGAGTGTTGCGGTATCGAAGGCTCAGCGGAAGCGAGGAGACCCCAAAATCGCAAGGACCCAAATGATGGAGCCTGGACCCGAAGGGTCAGGCGGGGGGCTTGGGGATTTCTCACCAATCGCGATCGGAAGTGGGGCTATTCTTTTTGAGTGTCTGTCTCTGGCTTTCCAAACACATGTTTGCATTCTTCTGTGTGGAGGGACTTGAGGAACTTGATTTTCAGTCTGCTTGGGGGTTCACTCGATGCGTTTGATGGGTGGATTGGATTTTTTGATAAGCATCAACAGCAAAGAAAACGCTAAGGGCCAGCCCCAATCATATGTGCCCATCCGATCCATCCTTTAAAGCCCGTCATGATTCATTAATTAAGTGCTTGTCCATAGGTCATTCGAAGTAGACTATGCAGGTGATTGATATGGGCTCAAAATCGGATGTGCCCAGCGCCCCAAATTTCTGGGTCAAAGGGAAGATAGATGAAACCCTGCAGGTTTCCTCCAAATCCCATTTTTGGAGGGCGAGCAGCCATTTTATCCCATCGGACCCCAATAGTAGGTGTTTTCCAAATCCTTCGTGCAGCCCAGTCACCCCAGCACACAGCCCAGGCTTGGTCCAAAGGCCACGGACAGCAGATCCTCCTGATGCTGCTGAAACGCCTCGAAGCCGACCTCCAACGTGCTGACCCCGCGCTGACCCCGCGTCGGCGACGCGAGGCGCGAGCCCGGCGTGCGGCTTCGATCGATGGACCCGGCGCGGGGGGCAATCGCCGGGGTTGGGGAGCCAAAAGAGGTGAAGCGTTTACGATACCTAAGTGGAGGTGCTACGAGCAGGATGTGCTTTGGGTCCTCCTTTAGAAAGCACTTCTGTGACCAGGATCACCAAGGATACTGTATGACGAACGAGACACACTTCCCAACCTCGCCTTGTGGTCTACTAAGATCTTCACCAGGAGCTCCTGACGCAAACATCCAAGAGATGGGCTTAGCTGGCTTAGCTATGCCCCAAGTGAAAAAATGCTCCAAAGAAATGAAGTTTCCATTGAATCGCTGCCCCCCGCGCTTCGCCACAACACGCGAGGCCCTCGTACGGCGAGCCGCCGCTCCTTCACAAAGCTCCAAGAACCCAAAGAGCCCAGAAACTCGCCCGTTGCATCACAGGCCATGGGGACTTCGCCCACACGGCCGGACCACAATCGCCCGAGGTCTGTCGCCCCATCGCCAGGGGAACTTCTTCCGCGCGGTTGCGAGTGAAACGGAGACCAAGCGTCACCTGTAAAGTCCAAATAATCCAGCGAAAATAAAAGAAACTTTATACGTTATGGATTAGGTCACACGCTCTAGGTCAGGTTCTTTTTGCGTAGTTACAAGCTAAGGCTCCTATTCCCACTCAGATCCAAGCTGCTGTAGGTTCTTGCCAGGGATGTTCACACAGTGTTTGATGATTCTTGGGAGAGGTTTTTTTTCATCTGTTCTCTGTACAGTATATTAATCACAAAGAAAGTACATGAACCTGAAGGCGCGCCGGTGCTGGTCTGGTTCGGTTCCAACAATTTGAGGTTGGAGGACTTCAATGTGGCACAAAGACAAGGACTTCGATCAATACCACGTTGAAACCATTTTGGGGTGCCACAAGAGCATCCACCGAGGGCCCAAGCGCGGCCACCGCGGATCACGTCGTGGGCCGAAGGTGCAGATCATCGCAACCACCCGGAAGAACCGGAGCCACCAACCTCTCCACCAGCGGATCACAGGGCGGAGTTCGGTTCTGGGCGCGCGACCAAGGGGAAGTGGCGTAGCAGATCTTGGCTCAGCAGAAACCTCCGGCGGCGCTTGGATCGGCGTTCGGTGGTGAAGGAGCAAGGGGACCAAACCAAGAGCTCGCTGGCGGCGAGGTTTTTGTATTTGTTCGGTGCGCCGCCTGTTTTCGGTGCAGAAGAAGAGAAAAGGGCCAAACCACAATGGACGTTGAACAAAAGAGTGAGAATATCATCATGCAAAGAATTCTTGGACCTTGGGGGCACCAGAATCAGCCGAATCCTGAGGAGATTGCTGCTTACATGTGGTTTTGAGAGTCAATGTGAACATCTGTGAACCAACTCGCTAAATGGGTGGCAGCTACAACCACAACAAGAGAGCCATTGGAAGTTGGGTCTGGCAGTCTAGCAACTTCCGGATCAAGAACGTACCCATATATACACGCCCCTAAACCAGGGTCAAACCAATCTCTTGATTTTGAGTTGCTTGGAGCATCTGGGTACAACTTTACTCGCTTTCCCTCTTTCCAGGATGTCTTATGAAATTGTTTTCCAGCAGCCCAATGTAGAAGCCAGTGGAGTCCTATTGGGACGCCACATGACTCTCCATTGATGAAGTGGGTTTTCGTCCGAAGTGACTGATCACTGGCATATACCCCATGGTCTTGTCCACCATGCCTGGAAGAAGAACAATTTTATATAGTCATTGCACGCTCTCATGAGGTGGAGTGAGTGCTTCACAGTGGCTTCACTGAGTTGCATCCATCCTGCATTCTCCCTCCACGTGTGTCACCTCTCCCTCAGGTCACGCCACAGCTCCGGCAACGCGAAGGCTGCCATCGCCGACGAGCTGAAGGCGACAAAGGGGTTCCTCGTCTTCCCAGCAATGGACGAAGAACACCCAGTGAAGCCCAACCACCAGCTGTGTTGAACACAGTAGTAGACAGTAGAGACACCATTAAGAAAACAAAGTGGGCCCGCGAACCCAAAAGCAAAGAGAAGGTGAACAGCCGGTTGTTTTTCTCTCTTGGGCGTGGCCCGTCCAGCCTCCCGTATCGCGCCCCTCTATCTTCCATCCACAGCCCCATCCACGCCCGTCCACTCTCCCGCCCCCCGCATCGCGCCCCTCCATCTTCCATCCACAGCCCCGTCCACCCTCCGTATATCGCGCCCCACCCTCCATGCCCGTCCGCGCTCCCGTATCGCGTCCCCCCATCTTCCCTGTCCGCGCCCGTTCACCCTCCCGTATTGCTTTCTGAGCCAATAAAAATCCTTCTCTAAGCCTCGATCTAACCCGCCGTCCTGCTGGCCAAAGAATATTCAAGCCGCAGCCCTCTAGACCTTCTCGAATCTAGACCCCTTCCTGCTCCCCAAAAAATAACCTTCTCTAGGCCCGATCTAGACCCACGTCCTCCATTCTACTAGTCTGTCGCTAAATCCCAAGGCCCCCCAGCAATCTGCTCCGCCACGGCTTTGCACAAACTAATTTCACACCAACAAGAGCCACAGACCCGATCCGAAGACTCCCGGCAATCTCTCTCGCCGCAGCTTTACACAATCCAAGTCCACGCTAAAAATGATTCTCGAAGCTGCTCGAATCCTTCTCTACGCCTGATCTAGACCCACTTCCTGCTGCCCGTTGTAGTCTGCTTCTAAACACTCGACGCAGCGACGTCCAATCGTCCGGTAGTTGTGAGCGCAATCAGAACAAAGCTGCGCAGCGTATCCTCAGCCAAACATGGGTTCAAACCCACGTGCCCCGTAAGTGATGACAGCTCCAGATAGGTTGAAGTGTGCAAGTCCAATGACTCGTGGAGACTGCACCCAAAATCACCAAACTCTCTGTACAAGCCCACCGTTCGCGAGTTGTCCTTGCAGCTCCATGGAGGCGCTTAGACGCATGGAGGCGCTTAGACGAACATTTTTGAGGTGATATCACTTTGAGTAGCACACGACATGACCTATAGATACCTATGGCAAGGAAGAGCTCTGGCAATGGTGGGCGCCTGTGTGTTGGAGAATCATGTTGCCTGGCGCGGCATGACACGCTGCGGCCACGTCTGTGGTCACGTGGAACCCGCTGCTTCTAATCTGGAACGCTTTCCAACGCTGATGGCCCAACAACGGCTCAACAACCACGCTAAGCTACCAAACTGCGACCCTCACAAGGAAGCAACAAGCTTGAGTGGGTAAGGCTTCGACCGACAACTACCCCGCGACACATCTTGCCCCTCGCCCCGCCGAGCAGAGCATTGGGTCCAAACACTTGTACACCTCCACCGACAAAGGGCGCAACCTTGCGTAGCCGTCCTCCACCTCTGCGCCAGATGCCATGGAACCAGCTTCGGGGCAAAGAAGGTGTAGCTCACTACACGGTTGACAATCGCCATAGGAGTCCACACCCGTAAAGTTTGCAGCGAATGAACACAATTGGTGAGGGGCAAAGCACAAACCGAAACATCAGAATACCTAGGTGGATCTCCCCTCTGCCCACCACCCACTAAGGCAAGGGTCTGGACGGTATAACCGATGCGCACATGGAATACTTGGACACCTCATCCTGCACGCCGCACATTGCGCACGCCTGCTAAACACACGACCAGATGTTGTGTCTTCAACAAAAGCCGAACTGCAGGGTGCAGTAATCACGTCCGAAGGCGATTTTTTCACAACAGGCTGACAAGTCAAGACTCAACTGAAGAATCTTTAGAACGCATCACCTGGGACCGAACTTGGGGATAGTCAGCAAAGAACATTTATATATCAAAGCCGCCGCTGAGAAGAGAAGGTAAAATGACGTGCTCTTAGATTGCTGAAGTGGCCACACCTTTTTTGACCCTCCAAACAATTTGTGGCTTGCCAGTACCTGACGAAATGAACGTCTGTGTCGCAGCACTATATGCGCTTTCTTGGGAGCAAATTTCCCCTTGCTAAAAGCACTGACTTTCTGCGCTCACTGAGTTCACTGGTGACAATTGGACAAAGCGTTCCTTGGGAGAGCTGTGAAAGTAAGTACATCCTCGAAGGAACTTCGGACATTCAAAGAGATTGTAGACTGTATGGACTAAACTAAACATGCTTCTAAGTGCCAAATACAGGCTTCAAGCGCGCAAGATATTAAAAGCTGCACTGCAGAAAGGCTTTCTGACAGGGTATTTTGTGATGTCCGGAGCTTGCCAGAAACAGTGTGGTCCAGCTGCTTTCACTTTGAACTTTCAAGCTGAAATTTTAAACGTAGCAGCGAGCAGCAGTGTGTCAAAAACACAAACCCACAAGAAAACAGAAGAGTACAAGAGACACAAATCTCTTTTGCTCAAGGCTCGTTGGTTTAATCTTGCATATGCAACCAATTACTTGAAACCTTCAGTTCGCCAGGGCAAGTATGCAAAGTGCACTTATCATAAACACGTTTCAAGTACTACTAGAAAGCAATCTGAACAGCCCCCCTGCAGCTTGGTCTGCGGAGAACATAGATACAGCCTGACAAAACGCTTCTCCTCGTCCAATGTGAAGTTGGTTCCTCTGATATCAAGCATGATGGGAACCGAGAAGTAAGTGTCCTGGATTGCGACCAAATGGTTCTTCTATAAGTCAAGAACAATGTTTTCCGCAGTGCCCCTCAAACCTGTGATCTGGTTGTCTGACACGTCCAAGATTCCAATCTTCCACTTCATGGGGAAGTTCTCTGCGCTGCGCACCCCCTTCAACTCGCCACTCAAATGGACCCCGGCGCGCGTTTCCATGGCGAGGTCACGCCGCCCCATTTTGTAGCTATGAAACGCTTTTTCTCTACAGAATGTTTGTATGTGGGGTTCAGCGCTGCTACAAATGCTGGTCGTGGAAACCCCATGTGCCGGAAAAAAAGATATGTTACTACAAAATGGAGTCCAGACCTCACCACAAGTCATGAGGGAACATGAAATTCGTTACTACATAATGGGATCCATACTTTTCTTTTTATATGCCTTGGGATCCGGAACTGTTCACATGTCAAAGTCAGCTTTCTATGCAACAAATTCTTGAAAAACATGTAGTTCATCACCACTGGAAAATTTATCATCTCCACCTGTTAAAAGACGCTTTTTGAACAACTTTTTGGTTCATCCAGGGGTGGATGGAGGCCTTTTGACTTCCCATGTCAAGTGCACTTCGACCTTTGGCATGGGCAAGGTTCCAAAAAGGAGCAGACTGAGGTTGTAAGGAGTTGTGTTATATATTTCGTAGTGAATAAGCTTCTTAGTCCTCTGTCAAAGTCAGCTTTGTAGGCCCTAGGCAAGGAGGTCTTCCAAAATCTGTTTTTAAACATGTTTCATTGGAAACAGTGTTTGGTTCATCTAAGGGCGGGAGCCTTTTGACTTCCCACTGCTTTGCTTGGGCAAGGTTTTCAACAAGGAGAAGACTGACGATGAAGCCATGTCCAGTGAGACAGGCAAGCCGTGCAGGGAACCCATCATTGTCCATGGCATTTTGTACGGAGTTGTGTTTCAACATATTTTGTAGTGAACATGTTTTTTGTTCTCTGTCAAATTCAGATTTCTAGCCCCTAGAAAAACCTGCGTTCAAAAAGCTTCAATTGAAACACTTTAACTTGTTGGTTGATCTAAGGTTGGAGGTCTTTTGACATCCCATGTCCACTGCACTTCATAGACCTTGAGCTGCTTTGCTTGGGCAAGGTTTAAAAAGGAGAGGACCGACAAGGAAGCCATGTCCAGTGAGACAGGCAAGAAGTGCAGGGGACCCACCATGGTCCATGGCATGTTGTAAGGAGTTGTGTTTCAAGAATAGTTGTAGTTCTCTGTCAAAGTGGTCTTTCTACGCAGGGCATTCTTGCATTAGCGGGGTACGCTCTAGAGCTTGTGCTGTTCGTTTTGTATGAAGCCACTCTTAACGGAGAAAGACAAAAGAAAGAGAAGAAGCAGAAAGAGAATAAGCTTAAAGAGACAAAGGCAAAAAGAAGACTTGGAACGATAAAACTTACAATCACCCGGGACAGGAGAAGAGCAGTAAGGACGCAAAAGGCGAACAAGGAGTGCATTCCTGTATCCGAGTGCCCCTCCACAATGGCCGACATTTTTTGGCACTTTCTGCCTGGTGCTTCTTATCAAAAAACAATTTCCCTCTACAAAATGGGGTCCATACCTCAGCGGCTGAAGCATGCCAAAGCCTATGGAATTTACTACAGAATGGGGTGCATACCTCTGCTTGAGCTCAAAAGTCCTCAAAAGCCAAAATGAGTAATTTCCACTACAAAATCGGTCTCTACAAATTGCTCGGACATGCGCCGAAACAAATTTTACTACAACATTGTTCTTTATCCGGGCCTTGAGGCCCTGCATTTCATAGTGAAAATGGCAACGAGCACTCAAATGGCACCCAGCAGCCCTCACCATGGTCAACGTCTTGCAGCTCCGGGCGAAAGCATCCCAGACTTTCATTGACAAGTTGACTCCGGAGACATCCGAACTTCTGAAGACTGGTGAACATCCCCTTGGTCTGAGCGGATTTGAATTCTACTCGGGTGTGGCAGATGCTCAACTCTCGCAATTCTTCGCCTGCATCAGAATCTTTGAGGAGCTTGGCGTCAATCAAACCACCTACCTGAGTGTTGGGCATGTGCAAGCCTGGACTGTTGTTGAAAAGCGTCGTGATTTCTCCAACAACTTTTGCTCGTTGAATTAAATTGTGTACAGCCGTGGCGGAGCAGATTGCCGGGGGGCTTGGGGTTAGCTATGGCTGTAGAGACAGAGAGACCGACTCGAATGGGTAGCAGGAAGTGGGTCTAGATCGGGCTTAGAGAGCGACTTTTACTGGCGTCAAAAAGCAAGGTTTGGAACTGACGGAGCAGATTGCCGGGGGGCAGCCCCGTCCACACCCGTCCACCCTCCTGTATCGTGCCCCTCCACAGCCCCGTACCCTCCCGTATCGCGCCCCTCCATCTTCCACGCACGCGCCCCTCCATCTTCCATCCAGCCCGTCCACGCCCGTCCACCCTCCCATATCGCGCCCCTCCATCTTCCATCCACAGCCCTTCCACAACCCATCTTCTGTCCACCAAAATGCTTGCCTCGTCTCGCTTTGCGGAGATGCTTTTGGGATATTGATAGTATAGAAACACACTTGAAAAATCACCTCTTTGGAGGATTCACCCAAAAGTGACTCCAAAGGAAGCCGAACACCGCCAAACGGTCGAAGCGTCCCGCGTTTTCGTCGGCTCCTTTCGGGTCGGAGATCCTGAGGTCACCAGGACGGGTGCTGAAATACCGTGATGGCCGCCCGTTGTGGGAAGAATCGAGAGACCATCGGTGCCTTTCGGCGGTTCATCAACCAACAGGAGAAGGCCATCTATGCTTCAATACTTGTGGGTGTGTCTTTGAAGATTGGCGACCTCAGATGGCCCCTGGCTGGGTAGACGGGTCCGGACGGGTCTATCTATTTGTATATACTCCAGAACCTTCCAGGGGGTTGTTGCGTGGGACGTCTTTCTATTTGAGCTACACACCCATGTAGACTCTTCATATGATTTCGACCCTGTTCCACATGGCTGCTACAATCCCATGGTCCGGCCGGCGGAGCAGCTTCGGAGCCGCTTCGCCTTCATCCGCTGCGTCCGGTATTCAGCGTCGTCGGGGGGCGAAGCCCAAAAACGGGTCCGTGGGCCCAACGCAGGTGGCACCGGTCAGAGAACGCCTTCATGGAGATCGAACCCAAAAGAGTCGGTTCGCAGTGCCAGGCATTGGCACTTGGTGGTCTGTGGGTCTGTGGCGTTTCTCCAAGTGACAAGGAATCTTTGGACCAAGGGGCGGAATCTCTTCGATCTTTGTCAGAACCTGATCGCCCATCAACTTGACAAGATCGCCAAAACTGAGCAAATGCTGGCTCATCAAACGAAAACGCAAGATCTGCCCTAGGTCCAAAGAACCTGATTTCTGTGCACTGGTGCAGCAACAATGGCTCAGCTTTGTTGAGGCTTTCGTGTTGTAACGAAAATCACAGCACTGTGTCTGACTGTTCCATACAGAACAGAAATGCCACTTTCATCCAGGCACTGTGTCGATCTCGCACATGAAATCCTCAGCCGGGCATCCAAGGACGGTGGTCGTCTGCGGCGCAAAGCGGGACGACGGAAGTTCGCCTGAAGGTTCCACAAAAGTGGGGACAAAGACCCAATGATCCCAATTCTATAAGATAAGAATTATGATGTCCTTTGAGGGGGCAGAGAACTTCCTGTGTTTGAAGCAATGTCATCGATTTGGGCGATTCGATGACTGAGATGTTATTGGCCAGGAGACTTTTTTCTCTGAATATTGACGTTCAACAATGATCAAAGTCTCAGCAATTCCATGCAAATCATGGGTCCTGGCTGTATCACAACCAACATGTCCAACAAAATGTCCTTCTGAGCCAATTTGGGGTCAATGCTCATCCTCAGACAGGACCCCGGCTGTTGCTAGGAAGTTTGACCCCATGTTTGGGGGTGGCTTGGTGATCCTAAGTAGAGGTCACATGGGGGGTGTCCTGCATCCATCTTGCTCCAAGAGATTCTGAGATTCAAAGCTTGGAGAAACCAGCCTCACACCAAGTCCGGTCCAGGTGTCAATGATCAACAGCAGCACCAGCACAGTCCCCGCAGTCGTCAGGTGCAACCTGCCAGTCCCGCGGAGGCGACGAGAATGCAAGCGGGACGAGAATGCAAAGGACTCAAGGGACCCTTTGTATCCTTTGTTCAGCCCAAATGCATCGCCCACCTTCATCCATCTCTACCAGTTCCTCTTATGTTCGTTTCACTGGGTAGGTGTTCTTCTTGCTGGTTTCTGGCGATACCGTATTGTAGCATGTTAACTCGATGGAGCGGTTCAAACTCTTCTTCGGTACGCCGGAGAAACGCATACCGGCACCCCAAAGAGCGATGGGATCTAAAGATGCTTGGGACACCCTCCCCTTTCTGCCCAAAAAAGACTGACTGGTGCTCAATAGCGAGTGAGGGGAGTGAGGGAGGTTGAGAGAGCTAGACTAGGACCCTGTAGTGGTACATATGGGATATAAGGCTCTTCAACCTCTTTTAGGAGTGAGGGAATGAACCCCGCACAGAGATCATTTTGGAACCAGCCGCCCTCATTCCGAATCCGAGTCGCGGAAGTCACAAAAGAAATTTGTTTACTACATATATAAACAGGTCCCATCTCAGTGCCCTGTCCCCCCCACGTCCCACCTCATACCCTGCAAGGTCACAAAGCTGCCCTCCTCAGACGCTCCTTCTTTCACATTCACAACACGGAAAGGCGGTGCCTCAATGATCCTGTTGCATCAGACTAGAAGTGGACAAAGAAAACAAATAAAATCCACCCCAAAGAAATGCTGCTGTACTTCGGTGACACACCTCTATACACTCATTGCTTGTGTAAAGACGAGATCCTGATCCCCAAGTTGCGCCCGAGGATGTGAAGGGTCTGGTTCCAAAAAGAACACGTCGTGGTAAAAGCTGGTCCACCAATGAGTCACGGTAGGCCGTCTGTGGCACCCGGGGCAGGTGGGAATCCACCGACATGGTGGACACCGGGTGTGAAACATCGAGAGCCCGGTCACCGGGTGTGACCTGGAGCGGAGAGCCTCTCCAGCCATGAAACAGGAACGCTTTCGGAAGGTTCTGGTACATGAAGTGTTGAGATGCTGTAGGCGCCGATGGGGAAGAGCATCAGAAGAAACCGCTACTCGGTAGGTCGACCCCGGTTGACTCCCTGTCGCTGCCATGGGAACGAAGAAACACAGAAGTCCGAACCGAAAAAGACATCACACAGCACCACGGAAAGGGTGGTTAAAAGATACACATGACTCCGTATGTTCCATCCAATCACCACCCTTTTTATGTGGTGCTGGAGACGAGTCTTCCTCGTTCCCAAACGAAGCCCAGCGGTCCTTCCACCGCTCGGATGGACGAGGAGGACGTCACGCTCTTGATCACGGAGCTCATCACTCCATCCCCCTGCGCTTGACCGAGAGGGTCCACCCTCCATCCCAGGGCAACGAAAAGACCTCCATCCCAGGCCCACAAAAACAATACTTGAAATCACAAAATAGAAGATCGTGTGGGTGGGTAGCCCGGTGTGAAGAACATCCCTGTGTATTCTGTGCTTCGGGATTTCAATTTCACCTGAAAACAGCACAGCAGCTGGATGGATGAATCAGTGAATCTCACTGCAAAACAAGTCCAGCATGATTTTGGGAAACCAGGCCGTAGAGCCAAATGAAAAAAACTGCAGCTGGGTTGGGTAGAGGTTACACTCTGACACACGTTCCATGAAAGTGAATGATCCCTTGGAAAACTACTTTCCTCTACCAACAGGCATGCCATCCACTTTCATGCGATGATGTGTTCGTCAGCGTGTATAAGAGCTTTCACGTTGTTGGTCCGCTCTTCTAGTCCCCCTTGGTGCTCGTCTCTCTGAGGAGGTCTCTCTGAGGGGGCCCTCCAAAGGCTAGCTTTCCCCTGCGCGCTAGAGCTTGTCCAGAGAGAGCCATCTTGGTATCGGTGCCCCAAAATGCATCCCGCTGCGTCGATGATGAGAGTGCAGATTACCGCAGATGAGGTTCATGAGGCTAGTTACTGCGGACCATCTCGAGAGGCAAATCATCCAAACCAACCCCCAAGCCATATGAGCTCGGGAAAGGGTAAACCTTATAGGAACGACTTTTCTATCAGCTGGCCCACCAGGTTCTGCCAGGTTCTGCGCAAACAGGCCCTGTTCTCCATCACAACGAGCCCTGTTCACAGGCTCTTAGGAACAAAGCTCGTCATGGCACCCGCGCCTCACTCTTGGCCGATTCGACCAGCGTGGACCTGTAAAGAGACGCTGGTCGACCCAACCAGGCTGAAAGTACACGGCACCGCGACTTGGGTTCAGTACTGTAGGATGAATCATTTTGAGGCTCAGAAAAGGGAGGGAAGAAGTGAGAAACGCCTCATCCGACACTAAGACGGTACACCTCATCTTCAACAACATCCACCATGCCTCTGCTCTCTCGTGCACTCGCGGCACGCGCGACCGGAGCACACACGCGTGACCGTGCCGCACACGCGCGACCGGAGCGCACACGCCGAAGATGGCCAAGCCGGTGCCCAGCAAGTGCGGGAGGAAGTGGACGGAGCGCAGCTGATGAGCCAGGCCCAGAAAGAACACCTCGCTGGTGGCACAGCATTAGTTGCACAGCATATGCTGTGTTGAGGGAGTCAAATACCCCACAAAGTCCTTAATTGATGTAGCCCCCCTCAAAAAAGCTTTTAATTGACCACCCCTTCCGTGGGTCCTGGTTTGTGTGCAAATGCCAAATGGTCCACTTGTTTTTCACTGGAACCTGCAGCCTGCAGCCATGGTTGGTCAGGGCCAAGCAATGCCAGCAACCAATCTGGAGAATCCTAGATGGAAAGATGACCCTGATGGCTATCGGCCAAACCGGACGGAAAGAGGAGTTTCACACCCCCAAAATGTCCACTCTGCAAAGGAGATCACTGTGAGATGTTCTGCGCATGTTTGTTACTTTGGGAGGTCTAATGTTGCGCAAAAGAAACAACTACACCCGGGAAGGTGAACATGGAACCTTTGGAAGACTATTTTCCTCTACAACCCAAGCGGTTTTCAGCTCCCATGTGGGTCCAGCAGTTGAAGGACCGCATTGCACGACCCCCGCAGCAAAGTCCGCACGACAGGAGCGGTGGTCTTCCCGCATGCAGCGATTCCCCCAAGCACGATGAGAACGGGCGGCAGCTTCGAAAGTGATCTGCGCCCAAACCACTCCATCCTCAAGGACACAGCGGCTCTGTGTGATTCAGTGGTCAGGTTCTGGGTAGCTTCATGGCGGTTTTTGACCTAGATTCATGTTGGAAGAGGTCAATCGTTTCCAGAACCACACCACCAACCATCATTGTTTCGGCACAGGAACCCCCCAGTCCGCAAACCCACCCCGGACCGACCCCTTCAGTCGGTGTGCCCGACATAAAAAGGGGCTGCTGTTGGTGAGCCGTCGCCGCGCGGTCGAGTCGCCTCCGCGTGGTTATAAACTGTAGATCATGGTGGAGTCTGTCCGCTCAGGGTTTCCTTGACTTCACATTATGTTGAAGAGGAAATCCCGATTCATCGCGATCCAAAGTACCCAGAGGATGAATCGCGAGATGAAACACAAGAATGCCCAAAAGCAGGTGCCTGCACGAAAAGAAAAGAACAAAGCGAAAGGATCGACCCCCATGCGAGTCTGGCTTGATTAACCTGTCATCTTTGAAGCCTCTGAAAGTTGCTCCAGTAGCCCGGTCCATTCCTCCCCAGGCGACGAGTACCTTGCTGGTCGGTGGCTCCAGTGCGGCTCAGTCGGGTACCGGCGTTTGAAACCGTCCGCCTCCGCCTCCGACCCTCTTCATCCCTCTTCCGCTCCGAGTCTCCAGCACACGGAGCAGGACTCTGGGAGGCAGGCTCATGACATGAATCACATAGCGAAAGACGAAGACGTTTTCCTCGGCCCAGTCGACGCTCGACCACGCGGAAGGGGACGAGTGCCCAGGGATCGAGGGAGTTCAGGGATTGCCCTTTTGGAAGGGCCAGCAGAAGCCACCAGGGTCTGTTCACTCACGTCGCTGGAGACCAGGGGGAGTCGTAGCCCACAAGGATTTCCCCTTTTTGGCCCGGAAGTTGCGAAGGTGAAGGTATGTGAAGGTTCTCAGCACGTGAAGGTATGTGAAGGTGTGTGAAGGTGAAGGTATGTGAAGGTGAAGGTATGTGAAGGAATACTTTCCTGCACGTTGCCGAAATCTTTACCAAATCTTCTCCCGATGCCTCCTAGAACTACAGACGCGTTGATGTATGAACACATGTTCACAACTGTCAAGCCCTCTGGTCCGCACCCAGCCATCTGGTGCTCACGCCGTTGGCATCGAGAAGCCAACATAAAGAAGAGCTCGAAGATGTATCCAGCAGTCCAATTCATTCCAGCTTCCTCTCAGGTTGAAGAGAACGCAAACGAAGCGAAGCCGAAGACAAGCGAGAGAACTTTGAGGTTGCCCGGTAAGTTAGAAAAAAGCTAAAGTGTCGATGGCCAGGAGGACTTGAATCTCGGGGTGCTGGGCTGTTGTTTATTTTAGTTGTGGGGTTGCCAGAGTTGGGTGGACAAAACCAACTTGGAGTTTTGGAACATGGCTGCGCTGCTGTGTTCGCAATACTCGTTGGATTAAAACATGTCCAAGTCAGGTGTTCTTTAGCCAGCTTGGATCAAAATGACAGCAAGGTCTGCAGAAAGAGAGTCCTACGCACCATCGTTGAAAGGAACTTGATCAAGTTCACGCGTTGTTGAATCTATGAATCTGGGATCATATAGGTGTAGAGATATCTGAACACTGAACAAGTGCTCTGATATCTCAAGTCAAGTATCACTGAACAAGTTCTTCTCCAGCACGCTTCATCTTCACCTCACATTGGGTCTATCCTATTACCGGTAACAGTGGATGATGATGATGATGATGATGATGATGATGATGATGATGATGATGAGGGTTAGTAAAGGCATAATTGTTTACTGACTGGCTGACACACCCAAATTAGCACCTTTTCAACCACCAATCTACATGAGATCTCCTTGGTGGAGGGAACAAAGCACTTGTCTGGCATTCTAAACTGCCGCTTGACATGCTCATCACAGGCGTCTGCCCCCAAAAAAGACGGAACTCAAAACTGACCCATCAAACCAAGCCCCAAGTCATTTGCTTGCTTTCAATCCCACCCAGCCCCCTCCACCCAATTCTCGCTGTACAGACCCCCCAAAAAAACCGACCCCACCACACCCCGCCCACCACACCACGCCCGCTCCTCGACCCCGCTCGACGCTCCCGCGACCCGACGCTCCCCGCTCTCCTGGCCGAAGCGGAGCCACATGGCAAAGCCCATGAGCGCAGCCATCAGCACCCACAAGCCCATCGAAGCGAGGTGAGAGACCCTGAAGGCGAGGAGGGCGTCGACTTCGCGGCGCGGGGGCGGCTTCGGTCTCGGACAGCGAGACCATGGCAGTCCTTGCGTTTTCCACCGGGGGGCGACATGTGTTTAAGTGTTTGTTCACCACGGATGAGCGACGAAGGGGGTGGTAGCGTGACCGCAGCTCACACCTCCATCGTGAGTGGTTTTGATCTGGGAGATCGTGAGAAGAATTCTACAAAAAGAAAGTGTGAAACAAAATTGAGCAGTTCTTTTGGATGACTACGTGGGCTGTGATCACCTTTACATGCCAATAAAGAAGGAACGTGGTTCAAACAATTTTGCTCTTGTGCCATCCTTCCATGAACTCGGACAGAAATCCCACCGAATCCAATGGCCCGACCCTCGCCTCGGCTTCTCAGGGTCCTCAGGCGCCGATGGCTTGGATCGGAGGCGAACAAATGGATCAGGCACGCGTTCGAGTCAAACGCGACAAAGTAGGAGCAAGTAAGGTCCGTAGATGGCTGATCCAAAGGATAACCAAAGGTAACCTACTTGCTCCTGGGCAAAGGGTAACCTTTGGGCAAGGTCCGTAGATAGCTGACTTGCACCTGTGGAAGACGATCCACCCGTGGCTAGATCTTCGCGGCAATCAAAAACTGCTCTTCGTGGCTGAATGGTTGGAGGGGTTGAAGTTCGCAGTGCGGATAGAGTCCACGATCCTGATCCTTGAAATGTTACACCAAACAAAAACTGGATGGCTATGGGATCGTTAAAAAATAACGTGGTAGGTTGATGTTTATTGAACGGCAAAAACGGTTGACGCTTATTGGGTTGCAAAAATGGTTGATGCTTATTGGATGGTAAAACATGGTAGGAGCGGCGCCATAAACCACCCAAATTGGGTGGCTCTGGTGATTCACCCATCTGCCGCAGCGAAAAATAACAGCTGGATCCAAATATCAAATACACAATACAGTAATTTCAGGGTTCCCGAATCTCCTCCACCATGTGAGCCAATCAGTCATTGATGGCCCCTGCACCAGAACGACTCGAAACAAAGAATGCCCACGGACCAAGTGCTCTTCAACTAGAAAAAACACACATGACCATCACCCGCCAGGGCCCAAACAATTCCGACCAGAACCTCAAAACCAAGGGATCTGAGACCCCAATTCCCCTTCCCCAGCCAGGAGGGGTCAAGGTCTTTAGGGCATGCCAATGAGAATTCACACAAGAATAGAAGACCTGTCATAATTACCCACAATTGCCACTGCCCAGGCACCTGCCAAAGCCAAAGCGAGCGCAAGACAAAGGCACCGGTGAAGGCCACAGCAAGGCAAGTCCAATCAAAGACCTGGGAAAGGCTTCCCGTGATGGGATTTGTCTAAGGTTCACCGTTTTACCCTCGAGTTCTGGACCGGTTTCCAACAACCGTTCTTCTACACTAGCGCGGTGTTGTTCACCCCGGAGAACGACCGTTCTTCGGCTCGTCTTCTACGGACACCGGCTCGTCTTTACGGGACGCCTCGGCGGAGCGCAGCACGTTCTGCAGCTGCCAGTTCTTGGGCAACTCGTGGTGGGTCCAGTGCACGCGGCTCCACAAACCATCTGCCGGTCGAGAAACGCCGGTCAGTGAGCGGAGGGACCCAACCGGCGGAGTGGGACGCAGAAAGCGCGGATGTGGGAGTTTGAGGGAAAAAGAACTTTACAAAACCCGACATTCCTGACGCAAAGCCGTGCCAAGAAAACGCAAAGTTGAAATGACATTGATACCAACGGCAACAAAATAGCATAACTAACATGACAATACGAATCAAACGAATGCAAAACGCCGCAGCTAAGTGCTCCACAATGGAAAATTCCAGTGCTGTGGCGTCCAGTCAGAGGAGCAGGGACCTCTGCGCAAATAAGCAAAACTGTGGCAACCTCGCTTTTCCAACACTCCAAAAGTTATGAGGACCCGTATGGTCTAGTGGCTATGACGCACTCTCATGCGTCAGACCCGGATTCAATCCCCGCAGCAACACTAGGCGGACAGATGGGCTACTACCCCACCCTTGCATGATGTGCACCAATAAAACTAGGCAGGAGGGTGGAGGGCATCACGGAGTTCTGAGCAAAGGACCCCACAATGATTGAAGCCGTCTCGAGACAGGCTCGCAAATCTGAAGCCATGAAAACCAAGTGGCCACAAAGAAGTTTGTGAAGCAAAAACAGCGGCGTCATACACAGTGAAATGTCGTATTCACGTTGATGGGATTATGGTAAAAAGTAGATATTGGCAGCGTCCAGCAGGCCTAACCATCAGCAAACAAACCCGCTACCATGCGGACATTTTCTCGAACACTCAAAGGCCTGAAGGCACACTTCTCGATACGCGCGTCATCACGACATGTGAATACAGCTCAAACTCTGTAGTGATCATTGCTTCCATACACGCGCCACAATTAGAAGGGAGAACAAGCTTTAAAGTGATAACAGCAAGCAATCACATCAATGACACGTAATCAATATCTAAGGGCGTTTTGCGGAAACTTGTGATGGAGAATCATATAGACGTTGTTCGAGAGCGCTGCGCAGACACGCAGGTACATGGTATAGTTAGTAGGACATGGCGATTAAGAGTTGTTGCTGTGCACAACCTTTCTCAAGGCGCGCTTTACAGAAGTCTGTCGCAGGACAACTTGTAAAAGCGTGTCGTATGCAGACATGATGCTGCACAGACACGTGAACATCTGGGGCGCAACCCCCGAAAATAGGGTATACATCTTTCGCACGCAATGTCTAGTACCTGGCAACTCGGCCGAAAACAAAAACGATTCCAAAAGCGCTATCACATCTGCAAGTATCAGGTAGTGGCGCCAACAAGCACGCCCTCTCTGTCAAGCCGGCGACAAGGGCATGGGTGTCTGTGCCCGACAGCTCCGTGAGTCACGAGCCAGGTCGCATCAAGATTCTTGCGGAAAGCAGGCCCGCTCGCTTTCTTGCTTGCCCGCGGAACCAGGACTGCAGCTGACATACTGCACAATTGTCACTGGAACTCGCGCAGCAGAAGCCCACAGCCAACGGGGCCAACGAGCGCAATACGTGAGGAGCAAACATGTCAGCCGTGACCGCAAGATCTGTCGCGCCCCTCTTTGGAACGACGCCGCTGCACATCAATCCTGCTGTCTCCGTCATCGGTTCGGACACTTTCAGGAGCTGATGGAAACGCTCCGGGCGAGTGGGCACAGCACACAGCGGGTAACCTCGGTTGTTTCCACAACTTGCACCCAGCCTGTGTATCAAAAACGCGCTTTCGTTCTTTACCCAAAGCCCTGAATCAGAAAAGTTGTTGCCCCATCCTCTGAGTAGGACAAACTAAACCATAGGTGCGGACATATAATGAAACGGCCCCACGCTCAACTCAAGTTCAAAAGAAGCGCCTTTTGGAATTTTCCTTCTTTTGTGAATTTCTGCTCCTTGCTCAACCAAGCAACTCGAAAATGTGGGAAAACACTTTTGAAATCGTGGGAAGAGCACTTTGAAAGTGTAGAAAAACACCTCTCTTAAAAGCGCGGCAAAACCCTTGAAAGTGTGGACACATCATCGAAAAAGGAACGCCATTGAAAGCGTTCAAAAGACACATTGAAATTGTGAAAAATCACCGCGAAAGCGTTGAAAACATGTCCAAAACCGCTTGAAAGTGTGGAAAAGCTGCTCCACATATCACAAAAACTTGGCGGTAAGCATGGGCGTGAACCAAGTTTAGACTAGCGGGCATTAGATAGATCGTGCACCCTCCAAACCAAATACTTATTGTCCAACTATTTCTGCCCACAAAGGCTCTCTCAAGAAAAACTTTTCGGCGGATTGAAAACCGCACGGGCAGCGGTGATCAAAGTCCTAATGTGAGCAACTGGAAAAGTATGCAAACTCTTGCGTGTTTGCAGTGTTGCCCGAATGGCAAGTCAAACGAAAGTGGCAATTACAGGGGGGTTGAAACCTTATGGTGGAAATATTGCGTTAAGTTTTGCCATGGAAACTTCCCATGTCCATCTCTTGGACACCCCCAAAAAGGTTACTTTCTTCAAGGCCGTTTGCATTTCCCTACAGCTAAACAGCCATTGGCGTTGCCCCTTCTGGGCCATTCTTCAATTCTTCAACAAGGTCCGCGCTGTCAAGCGACTGAGGTTGGTTTCACTGGTGTGTTCCCAGCACCAGTGCTACTGACGGGTCAACACTTCCCTTTTCTCCTTTAAACTTCACACTTCAACGTAAACACTTTCCTCATGTAGCAATGTAGCGTGGACAAGAGCGTCAACCATGGGTTCACCGTATATATGTAAACGCGAAGATCTTCCGCAACAGAAGACATTATTACGAGCCCCAGCCCATCCCCACCACCCCACCCAAACAGACCATCGCGCACTGCTTCTTCTTTTGACGTGCATCAACTACACTTTCCTCATGTACCGTAGACAATCATGCCCCGATATGGACTACACCTGCGGCTTTCAAGGCGTTAACAAAAACTTGTGCGCTGAAGAACTTGCTGGCCCACGGCAAGATTTCTAAAATGTCTCCAGAAGAAAGGTGTCTTGAGGCAAAATGTGTCTACAAGACGCTGAGTTCTTAAAAAGACCGTCTGCAGAAAAGTTTCTTGAGGCAAACTCTCTACGGGAAAGCTTCTTCAATCCTCAAAGCAAAACTTGCGCACCAAAAGGTATGAAAACAAAGTCTGTCTACGCGAAGACTTCTTACAGCAAGATCGTCTACGAGAAAGCCGCAGACCAAAAAAAACAGAAGCCACAAGGTGCAGGGCGAAAACATGAAACAAGAAAATTCCGGCGCACTACACGCTGCATTCTTGGCACTGGAGCTCGCACCAGCAAAGTTCACCGCGCACGAGCACAGTACCTGAGGAGCAAACATGTCAGCCGTGACCACCAGATCTGCCGCGCCTCCTTTGGAACGACGCCGCGGCACATCAATCCTGAGGTCTCCGTCATCGGCTCGGAGGCTTTCAGGAGCTGATGGAAATGCTCCTGGCGAATGGAATCCACTCGAACAACAACTAACCTCGGTGGATCTTCCCACAAATTTGCAGCCCTCACTCAAAACAGAGCCAAGAGCTGCAGGCGAAAAGCACAAAAATGCGATACCCAGCCAAGTTTCAAGGCAAGCAATTTTCTTGAAAGTGTCGTTGTGTGGGTCAATTTGGTTAGAGAAATATTCTGTGATTCCATAGAGTACTTTATCCGTCGAGGCCTTCTGGTAGAACAAGGTTTGCTTTTGAAGGCCTGCTGTAAAAGCCTGTCCGTAGATCTCTTGTTTTGGCTGATGACCCAAGATCAATCTCCAGCAACGCGTTAGCTCGCACCAGCAAAGTTCACAGCGCGCGAGCGCAATAGGTGAGGAGCAAACATGTCAGCCGTGACCACCAAATCTGTCCCGCTGCTCTTTGGAACGGCACCGCGGCACATCAATCCTGCTGACTCCGTCATCGGCTTGGAGGCTTTCAGGAGCTGGTGGACACGCTCCTGGCGAGTGGATCTTCCCACAAATTTGCAGCGCTCACTCAAAACAGAGCCCAGGAGCTGCACACAAAAAGCAAAAATGTGCAATACCCCACTGGCAACGCGTCGCCGGAGATTGAACTTGAGTCATCAGCCAAAACAAAGAATCTACGGACAGGCTTTTTAAAGCAAGCCTTCAAAAGAAAACTTGGTCTACGGAGTCACAAAATACTTCTCCAACCATATTGACCCACGCAAAAGGCTCTTTCAGGAAAATTGTCTGCATTGAAACTTACTGGCCCACGGCAAAACTTCTAAAAGGTCAAGAAAGTGAATTCTTAAAGAAGTTGCCTACGGAAAAGTTTCGTAAGCCAAGTTGCCCTACGGGAAGGCTTCTTAAAGCCCAGTTGGTCTATGGCACGGCTTCTTAAGGCAAAATTGTCTACAGGAAGGCTTCATAACTTCTTAAAGCAAAATTTGTTTACAGCACAAGTCTTAAAGCAATATTGATCTACTGTACGCATGTCTACGCGAAGACTTCGTACAGCAAAATTGTCTACAACGCTACGAGAAAGCCGCACATAGAGGAGCCGGGAGCCAAACGCAGCTCCACAAGCTGAAGGATGTCAGACATGAAACAAGGAAAGGGTAGTTGTGGTTGAGGCCCACACCACTACACAAATGTCCTGGGTGGATATCACTTTGAAAGAATTAGAGACATGTCTCCACAACACTTGGTTGCTTTAACACCGTGGAAACATGTTGAATCGAAAAACTGCTTCCATACCAGCAGATTTAGGTCTCAACGCTCAGCATGGAACCTGACTGGTGGGACTGGCCCAGGTGGGACTGGATGCAACAAGACCGCGTTCCGCGGCTTTTCAATGTATTTTGCCTTGCAAAAAAGGAACCAGAAAGGCCCCTCCCTCAAGCTCCGAACTACGGCCGAACCAGCGCAGGTTACATCGATCTTTTGGTGTACCGTACATCACTACAGTAAGGGAAGAAGTCTGCGTCGTGATGGAGGATCTCTGTTCAATACCATTTGGGTGTTTGTCAAAAGATACCGTCCTTCTGTGATAGATCGAGTCCTTCTTTCTATAGCAACTTCCGTCCCGCGAGGCATAAGACCCGAAGACGGCCGAGACGCCGCGACCAGGGCCACGCCGGTGCCACGGGACGCGCCTGGACGCTGCGAGAGGCCGAAAGGGCGTACAAAACAGGACGTGAAACAGAAGAAACACGAGGTTTTTCAAACAAGAAACGACAAGCACAGTGGAGCTTGAGAAATGAACAGACACTCAAGATGATTCAATCTGTTTTTATATGTTGCTGAGCACACTAACGGTTCACTCAAGATGCTGCCCTCACACATCAGCCAAGCTGCTGAAGCTTGAGGAGTTCCTGAGTTGGCAGCTGGGTTGCCAGCTGAGAAGTTCAAAAGTCCATTCACCTCACAGTCACCAGATTCATCACCGCAATCGGTTGGAATCACAACCACAAAATCTTTGGATCACCCTATCAAACCATACCACAACCATCAACATGTTGGAATCACAACCATCAAACGAACCACGGATTCCTTTTTTGGTTCACACTGACCAACGAAGCAGTCCGGTTCCTTCGGTGTCCTGCGGTCCGAGTGCAGCCGTGCGTCAGAGCCAGTGATGCCTGCAACGGTGACAGAAAATGAGTTCGGAGAAAGCAAAAGAACTCCAACACCCTAGCCCCTAGCAGTCTCAAAAGCACTGAGAAATCTTCTAGTCCAAAAAGTGCTGCAAATCCTCCGGCCTACCTACTCTCATTCGTGTTCATGACAAAGGCTCTCAGTTCATCCCTAAGAGTAGACTCCTCGAAACTGGTTTTCTTCTACAAACAAGTGCTGGCAAGGTCTGAGTTGATGATTAGTGACTGCTCACTTGCTTCATGGGGCCTTGGCATTCTCCCGGCGTGTCTGCAGAAGAACTCCCACTTCCGTGGAATCCCAGCTCACCGAACATCCTTCCAGAGCCTGACGAGAAAGAATACGGAGCCTCTTTCGACGAAGGTGCTAATCCAGATTTCCAAAAATCCAACAGAGCGGGAGAGCCAAGCGCTGCAAAGCCTTCAAGTGATTCCCGGCGGGGTGGGATCATAAAGAATAAGGCTCTTCCGTCTTCGGGCCGCGTCACTCTCAACAAAAAAAGTACCACAGTGGCTCCAGAGCACGGGTTTGGGGACCAATTCAGCCTCCCTGTGTGACCTGCAAGATCGAAGGTCGCCAGCACACGGAAATGTTTGGAGACCGATGGGAAAGCCCTCCGCACAAGATGCTCGTAAGGCAGTGAATTCAAGCCCATGGCTCTTAGCGCCAACGCTGGCACATTTTTTGTTGCACCAAAAAAAACCTAGGGGACATTCCTGTCTGCAAACAAACTGATCATTGACTAGAATGGTGTTGGACCATCGATTGTCTGGCCACACACTTTTCTGTTTCTCTTGGAAATGGCAGGATTAAGACACACAACAAGCTTGCCTGCCAGTGTGGCCTCGGAGAGAGATGAGAAGAGTGATGCCCTTCGGAGCCGGGACACCCTCGTTCGCTCCCATCAGCCCCCGTGACCCCGTGACCCCCTGACCACCGGAGTCGAGCCGTCAGCGTTCTGTACCAAGGCCGGCCTCAATCTGCTTGGCGAACCTTAGTTTCATGTACACCACTATGGAGTTGATTGAGGAGAGAAGCGAGTAGTGTGATAAATCTCGGTTTATGGAACGTTTTTCTTTAGGATAGATAATGTGTGTTTTACAATTGTTTCTAGCTTTACTTGCTCACAATGCCTGAATCAAGTGTCATCCAAATAATTGTTCAGGCCTCTGCAAGTGGTCAATGCCCTTGCAGTGATGAGACTTCACCCGGTTCCAACGTTTCAACATCTAAAGCCCCTGCCCTGTCGGTATGAAACGCGTCACACAGCAGGATGAATCACAATCAAAACGAGCATGCTTGGCGCAAAGCCCGGTGCTCAATCACATGCAAATCACCAAGTTTTATCTTGGCTTTGATCACGTTTAAAAAAGGTGAGCCGTGATCAAGGACTCTCAGTGGGCTTGACACTCT